TAGTTCTTCTTTCTTGTTTCCATGTATCTCTTCGAGCTTATTCCAAAGCTCCTTGTCATTTGAACAAGAGGAAACTTCTTCATAGTCTTTGGAACCAAATGCACAAAACAGTATGTGCATGTCCTTATCATTTTGTTGAGTTTTCTTTCGTTCTTGGGCACTCCACTCCTTCATTTTCTTCTTTGGTGAAGAGTAGTCATTCTCGATCATCTCCCATGAATCAAGATCATTGGATTAAATAGATAGCTTCATTAATTTCTTCCAATTATGGTAATTGTTTCCATTGAATTTAGGAGGCTTATCGATCGGTTAGGAGTCTTCCATGTAGAACGAGCCTGAAGTGGAAGCCATCTTCTCAGTTGTGTCAGAAATGGATAGAGGTTCTTCAAGGATCATCTCAAGGTTGCTAGATCTTCTAATGAGTCAAGCTCTGATACCAATTATTGGGATTTAGATGAAGCTCAATTGAACAATCGAATATTGCCAAGATGGGTGAATTGGCTTTTTGAGTTTAGGGAGAAGGAATGAAAAGAGATAGACAATTTTCACAAGGATTTATAGTGGTTCGACTTCTCAACCAAGTCTACATCTACTACTTAAGCTCCTCACTTAGGATTTTCTAACAAAATCACTAATTTATTATTTCTTTTTCCAGGATAAAAAGATAACATTTACAACTCCCTAACTTTTCACAGATTAAGCTAGAACCAATTCCCTTTTACAAAGGTCAAGAAATATAAACAAGAAACCTCTTAAAGGAAGGTGTTTGTAAAAATTAAGCTCAGTAAAACACTAATATTTACAAGAGAAAAGAAAATAAGATTGAAAAACACTAATATTTACAAAGGTCAAGAAATATAAACAAGAAACCTCTTAAAAGAAGGTGTTCTAACCCTTCTTCAAGTGTCCTTATCTTTTTTTTATATGTTGAAATGAGTTTATGGTCGTTTCTAGCCGTTGGGGATGTTTTGGAGTCGTTGGAGACTAATTTTCTACAAAATAAAACTGTATAGGAAAGGGAGTATCGGTACTCCTTTAATGAGTATCGATCTAGCTTTTTAATATTTAAGTAAAAAACAGTTAAAGACTGTTGGACTTGACCAATATTGATACTATGCTTCATCGTATCGATACCATTATGTAAAGTAGTATCGGTACCCCATTGAGTATCGATACCTATTTTGCATTCCGGAATTCGAGCAATTTGGAAAACAATTGGTAGTATTGATACTACCTAAAGAATATTGATACTTTTCTTACTTTTGTTATCAGTACCACGTGAACAGGATCGGTACTGTTTATGCGGTATCGATACTACGTACCCAGAAAAACTATTTTGTGCTCAAATTTTAGTTTAACAGACTTTGAATTATTTTTGAAAACTTTTGAAAACTTTGAACAAATTCAATCAAGTCCAAAAAGGTTTTTCCTTAATTTGTTATATCAAAATATTATAAAACATGGTTCAACAACAAGGACTTGAACCTAAGACATTGCTTCAGCGATATCAAGCTATTTACCACTTGAACCAACCCCGTTTGTTCACACCCTTTAGATTATCATGTTGGAATTGCATTACTTTTATTATACCTTGTTTTTTTAATGAAAACTCAAATTATTATTTAAAATTAATAATTAATCTAAACTATAAGCTTTTGTCCATTTTAAGACTTAAACTTTAATTTTTTTCAAAACCATACATAAAGTTTAATTTTTATTTCATTTTAGTATCCTTCCATTAAAAACATAAGCCTTTTAGTACCTAAACTATCAGTTTTGGTCCGTTTTGGTACCTAAACTTTCAATTTTTTCAAAAGCTAACCTTAAATTTTGAAGGGGTACTAAAATGAAACAAAAACTAAACTTTAAGTATATTTTTTTAGGTATTAAAACGGACTAAAATTAATAGTTAAACGTGTAGTTTACCTAGAATTTAATACTTGTAAAAGCTCCTCCTAGTTGGCAAAAATTAGTGGTGAAGAGAAATTTCGAGTAGACAAAGAGGGAAGTGAATGAATCTCATAGGCATCATGATGAAGCCAATTCTTCATGGGTCCATAGACCATAGTTGTTAAGATTTTTCTTTCCTTGATTGAGTTATGTAAAGTAGGAAGTTGTTGAGGATAAAGGTGAGCTAAACTCGATTCGATTTGAAAAAATTGATTTTTTTTTCTACTCGACTCGACTTGAAAAAACTAGACTTCAATTGACTTTGAGTTGTAATTTCATAAACTCGACTCGACTAAAAAAATTTCAAGTTCAACACAACTCAAATAACTTAAATTTTTTAGTAATTAGTAGATTAATTTTTAGGTTTGAGTCAAAGTTTGAATCGGGTCCTTCGATTTTCTACAGTATATGTAAATCACATATGAAGAAAATATGAAAAAATATATATGTATTGTATACGTTTATAAAATATAATTTAAATTGGAATCAAATAATTTCGTAATATTGTAAATATTTATAATTAAATTTAAATACAAACTAGAAAAGTCAACTCGACTCTACTCGAAAAAATTTCAAGTCAACTTGAATAACTTTAAATTTTTTGACTCGACTTGACTCAACTCGATCCAATGCTCACCCCTAGTTGAGGAAAAGATATGCATATCCATTGTATTTAATACCACTACAGCAAAACTGTTCTACAGTGGTGTTTTTAGCGGCGTTTTGAGAGTAAACGCCACTAACTTTAAACATATAGCAACGTTTATATTACAAACGCCACAAAATGGTAACTTTAGTGGCGTTTTTATACAAAACACCGCAATATAGTACTTTAGCGGCGTTTGTATAAAAATGCTGCAATATGGTTCATATATAGGTGGCGTTTTTTTAACAAATGCCGTAATAGGTTCATCCATAGTGGTGTTTATCAACAAATGTTGTGACATAGTAGTACTTTAGCGTTGTTTGTATAAAAATGGCATAATAGGGTTCAAATATAGTGCTGTTTTTTAACAAACTCCGCAACAGAGTAGTATTTTAGCTACGTTTGTATCAAAACACTGCAATAGAGTTCATCTATAGTGGCCTTTTTTTAACAAACGCCGCAAAAGAGTATTATTTTTTTAATTATGTATAATTATATATTCAATTCTCAATACTTATATATTCTATTAGTTTAATATTAATTCTAAATATAAAAGTTAAGTATATTAAATTATTGAAAATTATAATCAAATGGATATGATTTGTAAAAATATTAAGGATTAATGCGTAAATATGGAGGTCAAGTTAGTAGTATTTACAAATATGAAAGTTAAATGATTGAATTTTTTTGAGCTTAAAACGTCGGTTGAAACTTTATTGCAAAAATAAAAAACACAAGACAGTTGTCTGCCAAAATGGCCTTACCTACCCCTATTTGAAACAAAGAAGATAAAAAATAAACAAAAAAACCAAAGCTAAATCCCAAAAACCGGCCTTTCTTCCTCTTTGCTTTCCCCCTTCATTTGCACTCTGAAGATCGCGCGAAAAAAACTTGATGGAGCTAATGCGATCCTTAAGCTACATCGTTCAAAAGAGCAGTTATGGAGGGTACAAAAAATGTCTGTCTTCCTCCGCTTGAATCGCTGCTCGCCCTGGGATTTCTTTCACCCAAAACGCGTCTTCGTCGCCCAAGGAGGAATCAATTGTTAGGAAATGGGCGACTTTGTTACCACTTCGAGGGATTGATCGGTACTCACATACTTCAAAACTTCTCGCTCGTTGCTGGGCATCACAGATAAGTGCGCTGATTTCTGATAGATCTAGGCTTTGGTCTTTAAGTTTCATGCTCACCGTTCGACAATCGCCTTCTAGTATTACCTTCTGAAAACCCAAGTCGATTGCTAATTGCTGACTATGGTTTGATGCCATTGCTTCAGCAGCAAACGCCGATGGAATATGACAGGTCATTCGTATGCATTGTTCTGCATTGTCCACGTGTAAGTTCCTGATGAATTTTGTTCTTTTGTTCTCATTGTTAATACTTCCTGTATTATTGCTGGCTTCTGCCATTTGTGATTGGTGTTTTCTGCTTTCAAGATTAAGGAGAAGCCTTCACTTTGGTGGAATATCAGGTATTGTAATGTAGGTTCCTCATTTTAGGGCTATGATGTATTTGACCGTCTCAGATATGTGAAACACATTTATGGCATGTATTTGGAACCCTTAATTCAGATTTCATTTACTGTATAAATTGTGATAATGAAATGCATACATTGCATTGCCTTTAAATTAGTTGTAAATCAATATGATTACACTTTTAAAAGATATGTAGCCTGGATTTTTAATCCGCACACATCTTTAGATATTTAAACTTATCATTAAATCGACATTTAACTAATCCATAAGTTTGAAAAATAATAGCAAGTGATATTGTTTCATTTGTTTTTATTAAACAATCTTCAATACTTCTTAAATCCCATTCCAAAATTTAGAATTTAAATGTTGCAACGCAACCTTGAGAAATTGTTTTTACTTGAGAACATGTCCTGACTTTTGTTAGCAGGAGATTTTGGTATCATATGGCTTACTTCTACAATTTGTATATATACTCTCAAAATGAATTGAAAAGGTACTTAATGCATCCAAGTACAGTGGATCTTCTCCCTTAGCAAGTTCAAAGCTTTAGGTTTCAGTAGAGCTGATTTAAGGATGTTTTCTTGTTGCCTTTTATGATTTTCAGTTTGTTATGTTCATGTTTGTGTAATGCACTTCAATGAACATTTAAGCAGGCATTGAAAGTTGGCTTTAACCATCTTGTTTTTAAGACAATTATGATACTGGAACTGGAGATCATTATTCACTGAGGCAGATATGTGACCAGTTCTATATAAGAGGTAGATGCTCTGACACCATTTTTATCTGCATTTCTTTATCTTTTTCATTATGTCTGAAATTTATATCCTTGAATTCCATGCTTGTACTCCCTCATTTTGCCATATTTGAGTAAATAGCAGATTCTTTCTTGGAGGAGTGTGTGGATTCATTCAGGTATGTGTGCTATTATATCCACCTGTAGACTCTACACGCTAGTAAACTTAGATGCTAAGTGTTTTAATTGGGTTCTCATCCTGTTCTCTCTCTAGCTTTTGATATCTTCTTCTCAATTAGTTTTCTGTTTAAATTTTGGGTTCTTTTAGGGTTTTAATTGGTACATGTTGGATGAAGGAGAAAGAGACGATGATCATGGAATTGCCTGAATAATCAATGATCAATGGTATATCTTAAGTAAATAGCAGATGTGTTAATTAAAGTTGTATATCTTCTCTTTTAATCTTTTTGAGTAATATCAGGGGAAAAAACTCTTAAGTAAATAGAACTTAAGCTTATCCCTTACCTTACTACCAAATGTGTTAGTTAATAAATTTTTAGTGAACTTAAGCTTATCTAGAATTGAAGGATTTAACTGCAAATCTGTTAGTTAATAAATTTGTATGTGCTTCATTCCAGGAATCTGCTGGACATGTACAAGAATTTGGTTTTCCTAAATTGTTTATGTAAATATGCATTACTAGTTGATTACAAGTTAGTGATATCCATCTTCTTTTTTCCTTTGATGCTTTTCGGTTAATTATGTCATTGTCTCTAATTTGATGCTTAAGTAAGACATTTTTATAGTCAACTTAACTTTATACAATTTGTGGCAGAATCCTAGTGTTTGCTTTGTCAAAGCTGCTAAGGCTGAAGTTTTGGATGATCTTCTGGGGACCATTGACACATTGGCTTGGGGAAAGGTCTCTCGTATTGGGGAAATGAGCTATGTTATTTGTCTTGGCTGTAGTTGAGCTATGTTACATTTTAATTTAATTTTATAAATTTTGATTTATTTTTCTACATAATTTGTGTCGTAATTAATTTTTTTTAAGTTTATTGTTATTAGATAATGCTATAGAATATTAAATGTGTGTAATATAAACTAGAAATGATATATGTGAAATTAGTTAATTATAGCGGCGTTGTAAATAAAAGCCACCATAAGTTAGGTTCTTTTGCGGCATTTTGTGAAGGAAATGCCACTATATACATAGATATAGCGGCGTTTTTTACCAAAACCTGCTAAATTTCATACATGTAGTGGCGTTTTAGAAAACAAACGCCACTAAAGACAAGGTAATTAGCGTCGTTTTCTACTAAAACCCGCTATAGATCATGATCTTTTGCGGCATTTTTATTAAAAATGTTGCTATTGAGCTTGACCTTTTACGGCATTTTTATTAAAAACGCCGCTATTGAGCTTGACATTTTTAAGAAAAACACGGCTATAGAGCTAGAATTTTTGCGGCGTTTTTTGTTCACAAACGCCGCTACCTTTGCGACGTTAGTTTCATCGGCACTTCTTGCGGCGTTTTTACATACGTCGGGAAAGTTTTTAGCAGCGCTGAAAACCCCACTATAGAGCTAAAAAACGGCGCTAAAAACCTATATTGTTGTAGTGTACGACTATCCTTCTCTTTTTTATTATTTTTCTTTTAGGAAAATATATAAAAATAAATGAGAGCATCCCCATACCCCAAAATCCCATAATTTTATTTTTTTATCATATATTTAATATTTTTGAGATCTGCTGTTGGATTTGGATTAAAGCCCCAAGTAGTTGAAAATTTGTTTGATTATACAGGAAGCATTAACAAAAAAAAAGAGTAAGCTACAATGATGATGATTATTATTTTAGTTTCAGTTTTATTTAATTTTGATCATTAATTTTGAATATATACTAATCATTTATATTATTAATTTATTATATTTTATGAAATCATTATTTAGTGCTTGTGATAATATGATAGGTTAAAAACAGTTAATTTTTATTTAATCTATAGATTTAAATAAAATATCAAATTAGTATATTTAAATTACTATATTCGTACAAATGTTGTTACCGGAGCTACACATTCAGAAAATTACCGAGCAGATTACGTTCATAAGAAACAAATAGGGAATGAATCTAGAAATCCTAAATACGGTGTCATAATTTTAGATTATATATATATATATATATATATATATATATTATAGATATATATATTATATATATATATATATATATATATATATATATAAGATTAATTTCTTTTTAACGGTGTAAAAGATTTATAAAAATATAATTTATATAATTTACATAAAAATTAGTTTTTTAAAGAATTTTTGGGGTGTCATTTGATCCCTCATCCTATGCTAGCTATATCAATGTGATCGATTAAAAATAATGGCATTGAATTTCAATTTCTACAATTTTTGGGTCTCTGAATGTCTTCTGGATACACTAATCATTCATCCTACTTAAAAAATGTGGTTTTTACCAATATTTTCAAAACCGGACCGGATATTGAACCGGAAGGTACTGGTTCACTGGGTCAACCGCGGTGCGGTTGACCCGGTTGAACCGGATTTTATATAAATAATTTTTTTTTAATTTTACATAATATTCAAAGCAATATTAATATATATGTAACACTTTTTTTTAAGTTTACAATATTAAAGGTATAAAATATCACAAATCATACACATTATAAATGAAAACCATAAATCAAGTGAAACAAAATGATTCAAATCAACTACAACATAATTTAGGTAAACATATTAAAAATAATATAATATATAACTATAATCAAAAAATAAATTGGGGTTTAAAAAAATTATAACAATGATGTCTTTGGTTTAATTGTTTTAAAAAAAACAATCTCACATGCTAAGAACATAGAAGAGTATCCCAAAGTTTAAAGAGTAAAATATATGAGAACAAAACAATCCCATGGCTAAGAACATAGAAAGCATCACAACTTACTTCTATAAATAATAGAGGTAATTTGACATTCAAATCATGGAGACTTTTGGTGAGCACAAAGCGAACTATTCTTTTCGCTTCAATTGAGCTCAAATTTAGGCCAAAAATGGAATTTCTCCATTTGTGTTTTAAAAACGCCTGATGTGTTGTATAAAACTTAATTTTTTTTAAGGATGCTTCATTTCTTTCACTTCTTGCGCTAGCCACCCCCATTCAAAAAAAAAAAAACTCTTGCCTGTTATTCATTTCTGAAGAACAGGCCCAAAATTCCAGATCCCGGCCACCCTGCGCCGCCTCACCGCCACTGTTGATCGGCGACGACCGCCGTTCATCGGCGGCGAAACACAGAAAAGACATAGTTATTAAAAAGCCCTTGACTCCCTCGTTTCCAAAACCAAAGTATTTTCTTCAAAAAACGAGCCTCGAGGTGTAGATCTGAGTTTGAAAACTTTGGAACCACACCTCTGTTCATTGGCTTTTAAGGGTATTTGGGGTTTTTTCCAAGCCAAATCTCAAAAGAAATACATGCACAAGCGAAAGCGAACAACAAGGTGAGCAAAAAAAAAACTACCTTTTTATTTCCTTTTGAATCGATTACAACAGCCCCGATTTGCCTCGTATTTTGGGTATTTTGTGCGTAAAAGCTCTCTGGTAATCTCGTGTGATTTTCGTATATTTGTGCCTAGTATCCGTCCGTAAAATCCCCCCCAAAAAGTTCTAATTACCTCGCTTTATAGTGATAACCTAGGCTATTTTTAGAGTTCTAATCCGAGTAAAACTCGGTTCGTTTGTGGTGATAATCCACGACTCTGACTTGGTTGTTTTTGTTGAAACACGTTCATTGGCGTTTGTTTGGTGGCCGAGAGTCTTGCGCAGGAGAACTCGGATCCGTTGGAGATAAGAAACGTGCAGCCATGGGGAGTTGAAGGGGAGAACGGCGCTAGGGTTTCTGAAAACCCTAGCCTACTGGTCACGTGCCTTGGGCTGCTGAGGCGTTGGATCTGGGCCACTTGTACTTGGGCCATTTGTTATTATTTTATTTGTAAAGGGCCTGTGTACAAACATAAAAAATGTAAGTATGTATATTATGTAATGTGGTTGGAAATTATTATATGAAATAACATTATTTAAATCTGATGAAATTTAGTGTCTTCAGCTGCCCCTCTTTGCTCATTGTCGTGTAACGACAATAGAGAAAAGATTAAAAGACACGAATTTCGACCATATTGAATATCCTCTGTGGTTGAGGTCCGACGTTGAAACTGGTTTGTCAATCATGAAATGACATCCTCGTCGTGAGGTTGAGTCAAAACTGGAATATTTTGAGCACGAATTCCCTCATCGTGAGGTTGAAAACGAGCTCAAAGCTTTTGGCAAGTGGTCTCTGAATCTTCTTCTGGCTCAAGATATTTCGTCGTGAAGGTGAAACTTGACCTGAAGACTTTGGTGTTGTGGTGTCACCGATGACTCTCTCGTCGTGAAGTTGAGTCAATCCGTTTGTGAAGTTGGAATTGTATATGGCTCCTTCGTCGTGAATTTGAGCCTGAGAATTGGAAATCCTTCGTCGTGAAGTTGAAATCCAAGTATTGTTCCGAGTCCAATCGTCCGCTGTGAAGTTGAAACTGATTCTGGGACTGGGAAATTGTTTGTTGACAACCAGCGGTCCCTTCGTCGTGAAGTTGAACTTGTACTGTCTTGAGTCCAATATCCTTCGTTGTGAAGTTGAAATTGGGAAATTGTTTATTGACAACCAGCGGTCCCTTCGTCGTGAAGTTGAACTTGTGTTGTCTGGAGTCCAATATCCTTCGTTGTGAAGTTGAAATTGGCTCTGAAATTGAGAAGTTGTTTGTTGACAACCAGCGGTCCCTTCATCGTGAAGTTGAACTTGCGTTGTCTGGAGTCCAATATCCTTCGTTGTGAAGTTGAAATTGGCTCTGAAATTGAGAGATGTTTGTTGACAACCAGCGGTCCCTTCGTCGTGAAGTTGAACTTGCGTTGTCTGGAGTCCAATATCCTTCGTTGTGAAGTTGAAATTGGCTCTGAAATTGAGAAATGTTTGTTGACAACCTGCGGTCCCTTCGTCGTGAAGTTGAACTTGCGTTGTCTGGAGTCCAATATCCTTCGTTGTGAAGTTGAAATTGGCTTTGAATTTGAGAAATGTTTGTTGACAACCAGCGGTCCCTTCGTCGTGAAGTTGAATTTGCGTTGTCTGGAGTCCAATATCCTTCGTTGTGAAGTTGAAATTGGCTCTGAATTTGAGAAATGTTTGTTGACAACCAGCGGTCCCTTCGTCGTGAAGTTGAACTTCCGTTGTCTGGAGTACAATATCCTTCGTTGTGAAGTTGAAATTGGCTCTGAAATTGAGAAATGTTTGTTGACAACCTACGGTCCCTTCGTCGTGAAGTTGAACTTGCGTTGTCTGGAGTCCAATATCCTTCGTTGTGAAGTTGAAATTGGCTCTGAATTTGAGAAATGTTTGTTGACAACCAGTGGTCCCTTCGTCGTGAAGTTGAACTTGCATTGTCTGGAGTCCAATATCCTTCGTTGTGAAGTTGAAATTGGCTCTGAATTTGAGAAATGTTTGTTGACAACCAGCGGTCCCTTCATCGTGAAGTTGAACTTGCGTTGTCTGGAGTCCAATATCCTTCGTTGTGAAGTTGAAATTGGCTCTGAATTTGAGAAATGTTTGTTGACAACCAGCGGTCCCTTCATCGTGAAGTTGAACTTGCGTTGTCTGGAGTCCAATATCCTTCGTTGTGAAGTTGAAATTGGCTCTGGGTAAAACCTGCAAAGATATGCATATATGTGATGTTATGGATGTCATGCTCTTAGGTATGCCTAAAATGCATATGCAACATATGTTATTCTGAGCTCTGGAGAGTAATCTCGATCTCCGGTGGCCTGTCGTTGTTGACTCTTGATTTTGAAAGCTTGAAGTTCCGATATCTGATCTTGAATTCTTCAAATGTTTGATGATTATTATTATTTTTTTTGAAGATGCTTCTCAACTATCTCAAGCATGTGCATGAGCCTTGATCGGCTTCTGGGTA